GCCCCACCTCAGCAGACCCCTAACACCCCAAAAGCGAGCAGGAAAATGAAAGAATGAATGAATGAATAATAAAAAAAATGTGTGTCTTATATGGACAGAATGTCATCTCAGCTGCAGTGGTGATCTAACTCACAGCCGCCACACTACTTATTCCTTCATTTACTACAGTATGTAAACAGCATCAGTGTCAAAGATAACCATTACATTCCCTTGACAACAGCACAGTCTTCCTGGATTTCGAAGTGAACACATAAGTTACCTCCTTTTCTCTTCAGAGTTTTACCATTCCTTCAGATGGAATAGTCTCAACTAACTATTTTGCACAGCCAAAGTTCCTGTTCTCTTGCTCCCTATTTCATTTTTTGAGCTTGTGCCAAAAATGATTTCATTTTTTGTTCAGTGTGTTGAATCTGGATTATTATTAGAGACCATTTTTCCCCTCCCGATACTGATCCCGATACTTGGGCTCAGGGTATCGGCCGATACCGAATACCGATCCGATACCTGGGTGTATATCTGTATATACTACTATACTACTAGCCCTGTATTAATTGACATTTTATGCATTTTATAATTTCAAATAAATTATTTTATGCTGTGCTTCAGATATACTCAATATGGCAATGACAATAATCAATATGGACATGAAAAAAAATCTTTGAAACGTGGATACAAGAGAGTGGCAACTGCATACAAGGGCTCTTCCTCGATGGTTGCGAATCGTTTCTTGACGGCCTCAAGAAGAGTGTTTTTCATTGTTTTTATACCAGTGTCCTCCTGGCTCTCCAGAGCAAGTAGCCGTTTTAGAACTGTAACTGAGGGGATCACTTCCGCTACAGACGAGGTGGAGGAGCTAATCTGTTTTTTCATGGCTTTTTTCATGTTGCTTGCGTTGTTGTGCAAAATAACATGAACACAGGATTTAGAAATATTCCACTTCACAAGCATACCCTCGATTGATTCAGCGATGGACGCGTGCGAGCCGCGAAACTCGTTAGCCTGCAGCACTGCACTTTGAAGAGTAAAAGAGTAAAAAGGTGTCACTGTGTTTACCCAGTGTGCTGTCAAACTCAGTAAAGACCACGGAATTCGAGTCGCAGCTCCAGATGTGAGTAGTGAAGCTGATAGTTCGCACGTCCTTTAGTTTACATGAAATGTGTTCACGCACTGTCTCATATAATTTAGGGAACGCTGTTTCTGAGATATATTTGCGCCCAGCCAAACTGGGGCTCCAAATGTTAATTAAGCGGCGAAAGCCCACGTTTTCGACCACTGACAGTAGCTGCTCATCCAGTACAATAAACTCGATAATCCTGTCGGTTATCTTTATTGCTCGTTGACTGTCTTGTGTAAAATTTTCTCTTTGTTTGAATGAAGCTTCCAATGTTTGTTGCATCTGGCGCGGCTTGTCCTTCTCCTTGGTTGCTTCCGACACAACTTCCTGTGTTTACATTCTGAGCAGCGAAGAAGAATTGATTTCCGCTTTGCAGCGATAAGCAAAGCTAGCGGGCATAACTAGGTTATGTTTATGAAAATGGTATCAGATCGGTACGTGGACTCAAATACTCGCCGATACCGATGCCAGATTTTTTTGTGGTATCGGCAGCATTTTTGATACTGGTATCGGAATCGGAGCAACTCTAATTATTATTCATTATCCTTTTAATGAATCACAGGGTTCTACTGGTGCCTATCTCCAGCACCCTTCAGTTAAAAGAAAGGGTTCACTCTGGACCGGTTGAAAGTCCATGAAATGGCAACAAACACATTCACTCTTAAAGGGAAAGAGTTGAAAAGAGTTTCTTTTCTTGTGGGGAAAACCGGAGTATTCGGATGAAACAGTCGCAAGAACATGCAAACTCCTCTCAGGAAGGCAACTGGCTTGAACCAATGACCCTTTTACCGAAAGACCACAGTGCAGCCCACTACTATGCATTAACCCAGCTGTGTTAAATAAAAACCTTGCGGTATGCGTGCGGTTTTTGGAGTGACAAGAGTGACCCCCATTCGGAGAAATTCCATGTAATGAAAGTGTTGCTTGAACTGACATGAGACAAGCAGCAATTTATTAGTTGGAATTGAGTGCTGCAAATTCCAAACAAGGAACCAATTAAAACTGATTATAAAAGCTATACAAATTGGTTTATTAAGGAGTGTGGCTTGCAGGTATTACAAATATAAACATTTAAAAGCAATCATCTCTGAGGCTTTGTGTAGTTTACTATAACAGTTGTGTACATTTCCAATCACGGCAGATGGACCTGTTTTTAAAGTCTTTTATACTCAACAGCTCAGCAAAAATCTGCTCATTTTTTTGTTTATTATAGAAAAGAGAAACTTGATTAATGAAGTTTAAAGTTATGTGAAAGCATCACTTTATATTTTCAAAATGGAGAACGTATTTTCCTCAACTCGCTTCCTCAAAATTTTATATTTTGTTTATTTTAATATATTTTTTTATCTTTGACATTTCAGTGTAAAAAATTGGTTTATTTTATTTCTTTAATCCTCATGTAAAGGAGACCATTGCTCCTCAAATCTTTCAAAAAATTTTCAATAAATTCTCTTAAACCTTATGACAAACTTTTGATAAATTACTTGAGAACCAAGTAAATCTAGACACAGGGGTTTCAAGCCAGTGCCTTCTGTGCCGGTCCCAAGCCCGGATAGACAGAGAGGGTTGCCAAAAACCAAACATGCGAGTCATCAGACTTGTGAATCAAGTACTTTATCTATTTAAAAATAGAAAAATATTATAAATTTTATCTATTTTATCTACATGAATTACCACTAAACTGTCACAATACGTATCGTGAAGCTATTGGGAGATATTGTCTAGGAGCTGAAGTGTATTTGCTTCTGGGAGTGATTGTGGTTCTAGTCACTTCTGAAACTTCTATACATTGTCTTCTTGTTTCATAGAGTTTTTGTAGAGTAATCGTAAAGCTATAAACGTTTAGAATTTTCCAGGTTAATTATTTCAGTTTCTTTGCCTTTAAAAACACTATACTGCATGTGGAGTGCCAAGACCCGTTAATGTTTTTGTCAATGTTTAGGCAATGTGTGCTTTAATTCCCGTTGTTTATTTATTGATGTTCAATAGTCAAAGATAGTAGATAGCGTGTGTTTCGTTCAATTATTTTAATAGTCAAGTATTTTACCCTTCTTTCTAAAATCTCCCACTTGTAACATGTGAGCTTTTGAACTTCTCAGTGAACTATGAGAGCAAATATAATTAATTATAAGCAAATAATTGTTCAATAACTGTAATCGAGCTAAAATATTAAATTAATCGAGATTTTGATTTAAGGTCAAATCATCCAGCTCTGTAAGAAATAAATTATTGTACAAAACCACTTAAACTAGAATACAAAATCATTTTTTATTAATATTACTTTTTAGAATGTATTTTCTGTAATTTACTGTTTTTTGCCAGGCTAAGATTATCATTTGATAAAGCTTTTAAAAAATGTTGTTCTGGATTATGTCTGTCAAATCCCATTTAGCTCTGCTTCCAACATATCCTTCATGCCTAGTATTTCTATATATATATATATATATATATATATATATATATATATATATATATATATATATATATATATATATATATATATAGAAAGTAACGTTGAATAAAGTCAACACTTACATGTCTTTGATTGGCAGGTTCTTTCCTTCCACAATCCTGATGAACAGAGTGCTTCGTTTAGCCATGCCGCCTCGGGATCACGCGCGCACACTTCTTATTCCTCCAGAAACTCGCATGATTATGAGCAGCTCAACTAAACCACAGGCTATTTAATCTATAAAAGCTTCTCATTTGTTCACGCCGGGCTGAGGAGCGGTCGTCCACACAATAATAATCCAAGACATGGGCGTGTTTGAGCTCCGTGGGCTGTTTGTAGGAGGAGGGCTGACTGACTGGATCACACTCAAGCGTGTGCGCGAGACTGACTAACGCGACGCGACAAAACTACAGCGCTCTCTTTGTGGCGATTCTACCGGCGACGATTCCAGAAAGAGCGCTTTCACGGTTGACGGAGGGTTCGTTGAACGTAGTGGTTCTGTCGGCGACGACTGGGCAATATCTGTCAACGAGACAAAGATGCCACACGGTCACTGAGCTCTCAAAATTAGTGGAAGTAGCAATATTTTTTTAACGTATTTTAACATATTGTCCGAAAAAAATAATCGGTCAAAGTAAAAAGCATTAATATCCAGGGTGCAGATACATTTTAACCTAATTATTCAGCTCATTTGACTTAGTAAATATGTAGTTTCAACTTCATTTTTTTACTACTTTACAACTTGATGTAGTTTATTAAACTACTGTTTATATAACTTTTACAACAACCCAATTTCTTTGTTACACATATTTTTTATTACATTATACAATAATTCCACAGCAAACCTGAAACTGTACAAAAAGAAAATTCTGAGTATTACATTGTGTAATTTTTTACTGCAAAAATTGAGAACGAAGAGTTTTTCTGTTTTATAACAAATATAAAAAGTTGTTATTGTATTGTACGCAGGTATTGTACTTCCAATAGTAATCCCTTCTTTTATCACTAGATTGCACTTATCCCATTGTTTCGAGGTCTGTGAAACAAAACTGAAGCACGATCGAGGATTTTCACCACATTTTTCTTTGAACTGTCTTGCAAACTATGTGTTAGAACTCTTGTATGGTTTGTTTAAAACAAAAAATATATAAATATTCAGTAATAACCATTACTGAGTTTAAAGAGCAGCCATCTTTATTTTGTCTCAATAATTTTGATTTTTGCAGTAAAAAATGGCACAGTTAACTACTCGGAATTGCATTTTTTGTTTGTGTAATTTCAGGATTGTTGTGGAATTGTTGTGTAATGTAATGACAAAAATGTAAAAAAAAGGCCCCAGACTTCTAGGAGTTAATTGGTGGACTGGAGAGTGGTGAAATTAGTGTCTGCTGGCAGCAATGAAGCATGGTAGAGCTTTTATGAACATTTAGGGTGGTATTTCTGTGGCTCAGTTGGTAGTGCATTGTGCTAACATCACTAAAGTCATGGGTTCAAATCCCAGAGAATGCAAATGAACTGCTTAAATAATGTGTTTATTCTTCCTATAAAATGTAATGTAAATATTTTTGTAAATCGAGCTGGAGATTTGATGATATCTCGATGACATGGAAGCGTATGATTGACAGCCTTGATCCCAGCATCCCCAAGTGTGTCTGGGATTACATGAAGTTAGTTCTCTAAGACGTTTATAACTGCTTTTGCTGCGTCTCAACATTGACTTGTGATGTTAATGTCACTCATGATTTTGGCCATTTTCACCATTGTTTACTCACTGTCAAACACACCGAGGCTTTTGCACCTAAGATGAAGATCTAACAAGAACCGAGTGCAGCAGTCATTGAATATTAATTACAATCTGTATGTCATTTTAGCTCATTCAGTTTGCATTTCCATAATACCTCACCATACATTTTACTGCAGGTGAAAAGCAGCACAGAACTCTGGGATTCAAAGCAGCTAAAGACTTGAAGTGTGTTATGACTGTGTGCTTCCACTTCCCTAAGGACTTGGGGTTTCCAAACATGTCATTAAGAGAGAAAAGCTCATGTTGTACCAAAGTCTGCCTTCGTAACAGAAAGAGAGTCTACTTCAGCTGATGTGACTCACGTAATAGTCAAACATGAGCTTTCCAGGCTCAGGATGACGGGCTCAAACGCCTCCAATTGAATAAACAAGATAAACGACATGTTGATTCTGGCCTTTGATTAAAATCCCTCCAGTGAAAACAGGAACAAGAGAAGAATCATCTTTGTAAAGCAGGAAGGTGATTCACTAGCCAAACACACCAGAGTCCCCCGATCAAACATCGAAAGGAAAGTAGAAGCTGTCTGTGGGACATCAACCCATGCTTTGATTGACAGGCAGTGTAACACATGTGTGGTGAGTGTGTGCAGTGGTGAGTCACTGATCCAGGAATACACCTCTTGAGGACACCAGAGAAGCCGGTGGGCATTTTTACACATATATATGTGTGTTGGAAAAATTCCAAAAGAAGAACACCGACACCACAAATCCAATTGATGTTAATTTTAATTCCCTATTTGACACACTAAGTTTGGTTCCTATTTTTGATCAAGGAGATTAAGAGCATATGGAGACGAAAAGCATCATAGAGAGAGAGAAGGAGAGAAAAGCATCAGAATACCAGAATGGAACACTGTGATGTTATACACTCTGACCGATCGCAAAAACATACACACACTACGAACTAAACTCCAAAAGTCACACAGTTACAAGAGTTATCTTAACCCAAACAAGGGGTGGTTACAGGGACGTAGTCACAATAACGGAAAAGAGAATAAGAGAATAATAAAAGCAATGAGTAAGCAAAATGTCACAGAACATCTCTGAAAGGAATGAGAACTAATAGAACTGAACAGACACAGTTATAAATGCATTTGAAAAATCATACATTTAGTATCTACAAAAACATGGAGTCATGAAATCACATTTCATCATTTTTCTAACATTAAGCATTTTTCCCCCCTGAGTTTTTAAGTCAAAAATAAAAAAAGGAAGAGTATGAATAAACCAAATACAAAAACACTTCTATGGAAAAAAATTACACTACCCTGTCACTTCTGCAAATAAGTATTACTCAGTTTTGTACAGTTGGGGTTTTATACATTTTTAATAATAAATTATTTTTTTAAAGAGAAAAGGTTACGGTAGAAATTATTCTGCAGTTGCAATAATATACATTTCGTAGTGTTTAAAAGTATTTTGTCAAATGGTATTTTGTTAAACATTTCAATTAGCAATTGATGTTTAAAATTAACTATTTAACCAATTTCAACATTAAACCAGATATATGAAGTTTTTGAATCAACTGTATTTATTATCGCATGTTACTTATGCACTTTATCAAATACTTAATCATTTCGTTTCAAAAGCACGCCATATTTATTTATTTATTTATTTATTCAAAAGCGCGCCAAAGCACTGTTACTCAGCTAAACATCGCCATCTAGTGATTATTTTGTTTTTGTTGCCTAACACTGCTTGAACTGCGTAGTTTTTTTTACATAAAAGGTTGGGTTCCCTTGCTAAAAAGAAAAAAACTCTGAACTAGCCAACACATTTTAAAATCCCTAGGCTGGATTACAAAATAAACACTTCTTGTCAGCTATACAACTGTTTAACATCTTAAAGTAAGTTGAGCACGCATACGACTGTTACAAACACATTTGCAATTCATGTTCTTCAAGTAGGTTCCATTCTTTAATCAGTCAGGAGACCATTGGTTGTCTCCAGGATTTTGATCAAGACCAATGCCGAGACAATTCCTAATCCCTATTTTAAATTTATCATCCTAATTATAATTGAAATAGGGCTAGTGATACTTCGTAGTCTGAACTTTGTTGTGTTTCCTAATTTGCATGCTTTGGTAACGTTTATGCAGACCCAAACCTGCAAAAACACACCTAACCCTGCCCCAATTGTTAGATGGAACTTTTGGAACAACAGAATCCCTCCTGGAAAAGTGGTGGCACTGACAAAGTTTTATTGAACGATTGTAAATGCAATTTTGCACATTTGTGGAATCAGGAGTAATGTAAAATAGAGACACAGCAACATCAAATAATACACATAAAAATTTAGCATGCTACAGGAAAAATTTAAAAGAAAAGGCGATTAAAAAGTGAAACTTGCATAATGTTACATTGCTTCCACACTGATATATTTCAAGTTTAATTTAATTAAATTTGATGTTTATAGCCGACCACTAAATAAATTCCCCAAAACAGAATCTCTGCAAAATATAATATTACTTAAGACCAATGCACAGCAAGGTGGCGTGCATATGTCAAGTCCTGTTGAAAAATGAAACCCGCATCTCTGTAAAGCTGGTCAGCAGCAGGAAGCATGACATGATTTCTAAAACTTCCTGGAAGATGGCTGTGTTGAAGTTGGACTTCAGAAAACCCAGTGGACCAACACCAGCAGATGACATGGCACCCTAAGCTTTCAGTGACTGTGGATGCTATGAACCAGATTTCGAGTACAATTATTTAAGTTCCTCTCCTCATAAAAGAACATAAAATTGTACCACTCAGCAGCAGTCTAGTCCTTTTCCTCTAACAATTATACAAACAGCTTCTATGCTTTTTTCTTTCATGTTCTACTGTGCTCAATTGCTTGGTCACAGAGTTCTGTGAACTACGGCCTGTTTTGCAATGACCTGTGTTTTGTCCTCCTTGTGGAGGGTTGCAATAGTCATTTTTGGGCAACTGTCAGGTCTGCAGTTTTCCCCATGGTTGTTCAAGTTTAATTACCTAATTAGAGACTGTTCCCAGGTGTCTTCAGTATTTTTTCATTTGAATGTTTAATACTAGCTGCCCAACTTTGCAGATCAAATTATTAACAAGCATGTCTGTAAGCCCACTGACCCAGGGAACTATTTTTAACCCACCATTGAAATCATCTTTGAAAAGAAAGGGAATTTTAAAAGTTTTGAAACCACAAAAAGGCTAGGGTCTATATTGGTTTATTTGAGAACATTTGAAACCATTCATCCACTAGGGGGCAGTGTTAATGTTTGCATTAAGTCATCTTTTTGACTGGAGTGATGGAGATAATTTTATGAAATTTCTTGTTAAAAATGTGAGTAAAGGATAATTGTCTCCCAGTAAATATTACTTGAAACAAGGTAAAGAAGTTTCAGAAGTGACTGGAATCACAATCACTCCACTTCAGTTCCTAGACGATATCTCCCAGTAGCTTCACAATTTTGTATCGTGAGATATCTTGTTAAACCCCTAGTCACAGCAAGCATCTCTGGAAACCTCAAAGGTCCAGTACAATGAGCATTTAAACTGTGTATCATGTGTTTTACGGTTACAGAACCTGACTTTATAGAATACTCAAGATATTCCAATAAAAAACTAAAATCTGTCTCTGTATATCGTTTTCTTTGTAAGTCTTTGTAATGTTTGACAAAAAAGCTACTTATTCAGAAAAAAACAACTATTATCATGAAAGTGAAACATAAGAAAGAGCTGTAAAAGAACATTTTTTTATTAAAATAGACTTATGCACAGGGCTTGTGCAAATCAGTCCAAAAAGTAAAATGGATTAAGTTAAGCTCCTCTGCTAAAACAAACTACGAGTTTGCTAATAAACACAAAGATGATGAAGGGAAGAATGAAGCTCCCAGTACAAACAGAAATATCTTCAAGAACAATTCCAAGATATGAAAAACACCAACAGTTCTTCTCTATTATCCACTTGTTAAGTCTGAGGTCATGCTGCGCATCCAGGTCCTGGCAGTCTCCCTTTGCAGACAGTGGTAAAATGCTTTAAATCAAGCAAAATATTATGTAAAGATTACCAGTAATATACCATAACAAATGCTAGAGTCAAGGTGTCGAAAAAAAACGTGGAAAGTGCTGTTCTGTAGCAAAAGTTAGAGAAACCCAGTGACGCGTTCTCAGAAGCGTCTCTCCATCCCTTCTCACACGCTCTGTATTCTTTATGCTTGTGTTTGAAATCGTGTTGGTGTTAGTAATTTGTGAAATATCTCGAGAAAGTTAACTTTCATACGTAGTGCCGTAATGTTTTCTGTCATCCGTTCCACCTCCTCTGACACATCGCTTCACTCTCAAGGTAAGGTTTCACATTTGTGTACGTATTACGTATTTTATGTGTGTTTTATTCTGATTTATTATCATTTATTACATTAACAATGTGTAGATTTAAGGATTGAAGAAACGTTACTTGATTTTTCTCTGGTTTTCCATTTTGTTCATCTACTTATTCTGTTGTTTCTGAGAGCCGTTGGATGGATTAGGAGTTTTACATGTAAAAATTGCTTCGAGATACAAAATGTTCGAGATATGAAAGCCACCCTGGAACGGATTAATTTCTTATCTCGAGGTACCACTGTATTTGTAGTAAAACCATATCAGTAACATGACGGCAACTTGGAATCTCATACTTAGGTTCGAAAATGTTAAGTAGATGACAAAATCCCACGTTATCGTTATTCAAATTTACACTAAATTGTATTA